ACTTCTTGTACCCCAACACCCCTTGCACACCCACCTCACTTGTAGCTGAACATGCCTTGCACACTTTCCCCACTTCCACCTCGACACCCCTTGCACTTCCCCCACTTGCACCCCAACTCCCTTTGCACACTCACCCCAATACCCCTCACTTTCCCCCTTTGCACACTTTCCCTGCTTGCACCCAACACCTCTCTCACACTTTCCCCACTGCCCCTCAATGACTCTTGCACTTTCTCCACTTCAACCCTGCCACCCCTTGCACACTCACCCCACTTGTAGCTGAACATGCCTTACACACTTTTCCCACTTCCACCTCGACACCCCTTGCACTTCCCCCACTTGCACCCCAACTCCCCTTGCACACTCACCCCACTGCACCCCGACACCCCTCCCACTTTCTCCCCCTTGCACACTTCCCCTGCTTGCACCCAACTCCCCTTGCACACTACAAAACGCTAACTTATTCCCAAAGGCTTTTTTTTTTTTCTTTCCCCCAAAAAAGAAAAATTAAGAATTAAAACAGGGGCGGGGGGGGGGGGGGCCCCTCCCCCCCCCCCCCCGCCTCCCCGGGACCTCCGGGAGCCGTTCCGGTGGCTGCCGGGGTCGGGGGAGGCGTGTAACGGGGAGGGGCGTGCAACGGAGTACCGGGGGTGTGTGCAACGGGGTACCAGGAGTTCACGAGTGTGTGTGCAACGGGGTACCGGGGGTGTGTGCAATGGGGTACCGGGAGTGCACGGTTATGTGTGCAGTGGGGTACCGGGGGTGTACGGGGCACCAAGAGTGCACGGGAGTGTGTGCAACGGGGTGCTGGGGGTGTATGGGGGTGCCAGGAGTGCACAGGTGTGTGTGCACCAGGGTACTGGGGGTGCCCGGGGTACCAGGAGTGTATGAGTGTGTGTGCACCACGGTACTGGGGGTTCCCGGGATACCAGGAATGCACGGGGGTGTGTGCAGTGGGGTACCAGGGGTGTACAGGATACCAGGAGTGCACGGGGGTGTGTGCAATGGGGGACTGGGGGTGTATGGCGTGCCAGGAGTGCACAGTTATGTGTGCAATGGGGCTTTGGGGGTGTATGGGGTATCAGGTGTGCATGAGTGTGTGTGCAATGGGGTACCAGGGGTGTACAGGGTCACCAGGAGTGCATGAGTGTGTGTGCAATGGGGTAGTGGGGGTGTATGGGGTACCAGGAGTGCACAGTTATGTGTGCAGTGGGGCACTGGGGGTGTACAGGGTACCAGGAATGCATGTGTGTGTGTGTGCAGCAGGGCATTGGGGGTGTATGGGGTACCAGAAGTGCATAGTTATGTGTGCAATGGGGTACCAGGAGTGCATGGGTGTGTGTGTGCAATGAGGTACCAGGGGTGCACAGGGTACCGGGAGTGCATGAGTGTGTGTGCAATAGGACACTGGGGGTGTATGGGGTACCAGGAGTGCACAGTTATGTGTGCAGTGGGGTACCGGGGGTGTACAGGGTACCAGGAGTGCATGGGTGTGTGTGCAAGAGGGCACTGGGGGTGTATGGGGTACCAGGAGTGCATGGGTGTGTGTGCAACAGGGCACTGGGGGTGTATGGGGTACCAGGAGTGCACAGTTATGTGTGCAGTGGGGTACCGGGGGTGTATGGGGTACCAGGAGTGCATGGGTGTGTGTGCAACAGGGTACTGGTGTGTATGGGGGTGCCCAGGAGTGTGCTCACAGAGCTGTATGGAGTGTTGTACTGGGGGTGCCCCAGGGTGTGTGCACGGGGCACCAGGAGGGATGCACAAGGGCTGTCAGGGTGTAAGTGGGGTGGACATATGCAAGGGGTGTCAGGGTGTAAGGGAGAGTGTGCAAGGGGTGTCAGGGTGCAAGTTGGGGGGAAGTGTGCAAGGCGTGTCAGGGTGTAATTGGGGGGAAGTGTGCAAGGAGTGTCAGGCTGCACAGGGCCCCGGGGAGCAGGGAGGGTGCTTGGGGAGGAGCAGAGTTGTACCAGGCTGGGGTGTCGAGCGTGCAAGAGGTGCTGGGTGTGAGCGAGGCGCAGGGTGCTGCGGTGTGGGTGGTCCCCGAGATGTCACCCCTGATGTCCCCAATGGAAGCTGGAGCTGCACACCCACCCTGCACCCATCCCCGGCACCATCCTGGTGAGCTTTGCACAACCCCTGGTGCAAAGGTGTGCTGTCACAAGCAAAGTCCTCGTGCCAGGAGATGCTACTGGTGCTCTCCGTGTTGGATTCCCTGTGGGAATCGCATCTCGGGGGGGGTAGGTCTGTCCATCCACACACGGGGTGGGCTGTGGGTGGTGTCAACCTGCACCTTGTGTGTCACCCCGACGCCTCGGTGACATGATAAAAACCATAGTTGGTGGCTTTTTTGGGGTCGGGGGGTCGGTGGGGTTTGGATGTGGAGTGCTGAGGGTGGCTTTGGAGCCGTGGAGCCCCCAGGGGAGGGCACACTTGGTGGCATCACCCGTGCCTTAGGAAGCATCATGAAGGCATCTCCTCCTGCTGCTCCAAGAGGGGGGGAAAAAAGGTTGGAAAAAGCCAAAATCCCCTCCGTCACCCTCCTGCCGGTGCCCACAGACCCTCCCCACTCCAGTGGGTTGAGGTTTGGAGCAGATGCTCTAATTTCTCCTCTTTTCAACCCAGGGCCACCTGAAAGAGTAGAGGAAACCCCTTGGCATGGAGGGGCTGGAGGTCTTGCCAGCGCGCGGTGAAAAGGATGGATTCTCTGTATTCTTTGCTTATTTTTTAAATGTTTTTCCTCTGGTTCTCTGCCTGCCAGACCTGGTTTGGGGGTTTGGGGCTGCTCCGTATGGTGTCGTCCCCCCCCCATCCTCAAGGCACGGGGGTCGGTGCCCACCCCCGGGCGCCTCCGCCACCGGCTCCTTTGCACAAACAAGCCTGGCATTTTCTGCCAAGTCACGGCGTGGCGTCACGCCGGCCTCGATGGCCTTGATTTCAAAGAGGGGCATTTCCTCTGCAAGGCAAGAGGGAGAGGAAAAAAAAAATAAATAAAAAAAAAAAAAAAGAAAGTTTTGCCTCGGTTTCCCGGAGCGGGAGGTGCTTCGGGGGAAGGTGAAAGCAGCTGGTTTCACCGGGCACTGAATTCCCTGCTCCCTCCCGGGGCTGGCTGAGAGTTTTCCGGAGCAAATGCCTTAGGCTGGGAATAATCCTGCTCAGCAAACTGCCTGGAAAAGGCTCGGGAGCAGATAAAATGCTCCGGCTGCGGGGAAACGCCGGTGGAGCATGGCCAAGGTCACCCCCCAGCTCTGGGATTTGGGTGCCGCTGGTTTGTGCCTCTTCTGCCTGTTGGCTACTGAAAAAAAGGCAAGAACTGACCCCAAAAAGGGCTTTTTTTAACAATGGGAGTAACCAACTACTAATTAAGCTTGTAAGAGCAGCTGTCTTTCGCTTTACCATAGGAAACGTTTCGCTCTCCTCCTACAGAAGAGCAGGGAAGCTCCTTCCTTAGTCTGATTTTTCTGGATCATTAAATAATTCCTGGGCTCGGCCGTGGCTGAGCGGAGCCCGTGGAGGAGGCAGGGGGTTGTGGATGCTGCAGGAAAAGAGGCGTTTGGGGCACCTGGGCTTAGATCGTGCTGGAGAGGAAATGTTTTGGTTTCCAGCGAGTCATTTCCTTCCAAAGAGAAACTGAAAATGTTGTAATTTGGGGAATGGCCGGCTTCGGAGGCTTGCACAATTCCCGCCTTGCACGCTGGTGGTGTCCTGGTGAGGTGAGTCACGGCAGGGAGTTAAAACGGGTGCCCCGTGGACCTCTGGAAAATAGGAGATACGCCTGTGTGACACAGCGGGGACGATGCCTGGGGTGCTGGGAAGTGATGAGGGAGGGTGTAAATCTGGGGGGGGCTGTCGTTCCCCTGCTCTAACTTAAAGCTTTGCTGGTTGTACATATATTTTGCAGCAGTGTTGATATTTATTCAGGGGCAATACTCAACACAGGTTGTGTTTTACCAACTTAAGTTGCAGCTGGAAGCTTGTGGTTATTGATTTCTTTTCCTTCCCATCATTTTCCTTCTGATGGAAAGACCCCCCCCTTGCACCTTCAGCCTTCACTCCAGGTTGGCCTCTCTCCTATGCCATGGTTGTAGTAAACACCAGCTCAAATTGTAGGTTTTTAGATGTGTGCCAAAGGTGTTTGTCAGTTTTTAGGCTTGTTTTGTTTTGTAGCTGCTGAAAATGTAAAGCTTTGCTGCTTGTATATATATTTTGCAGCAGTGTTGTTATTTATTCAGAGGCAATACTCAATCCAGGTTGTGTTTTAAGCTGCAGCTGGAGGCTTGTAATTATTGATTTGCTGGGTGTCTTTTCCTTCCCATCATTATCCTTCTGATGGAAAGACCCCCCCTTGCATCTTCAACCTTCACTCCAGGTTGACCTCTCTCTTATGCCTTGGTTGTAGTAAACACCAGCCTGCTGGGAAGTGATGAGGGAG